CACAAAAGCAAGTTAAGCACAAAGTTAAGTTTAAGCACAAAACAATCCGTTTTGTCACCAATTTAGTGGCATGAAATTATTACGAGACACTATACCTAAATGTTACTCTCGACCGCCAATCGGTTCATTATAGGCGTTATAAGTGCCGCAGCATATCGCGACTCGTAATTGGCAACATGCTGCTGTGCCTGCAGTATATACCTATTGCGCTACCCCGACCATCTGTGCCCTTTTTCGGGTGTGTTTCTTCTCACAGCATGCTTGTCCGGATGAGCAGATGTAGCACAAATGTCGCCTCAGCGTGACACGGTGAGCACGTGTGACATGTGACGTGCACCATCCGACATCCGTGCACAGCTGTGCGTGCACCTACGGATCCGCAGCGGTAGCGGGACGAAGCTCGAGCCCCTAACCCAGCCCGGTGGGGCGAGCACAGCCAAAGCTCGAGAGCTCGAGCCGGGCCGGAGTTCCGCTAAAAGCTTTACATTCTGTTCGTCATTGCCCACAACGTTGAAAACCAGCATTGCTCGAGACTGGAGTTATGTATGCTTTTACAGATGCAATTATATGGCATTGGTCGTTTCCAGCAGTCCATTTTACCATCATCAAGGTGGAAGGGTGGGTTGATCTTTCGCTTGGCTCACTAGATGTAGCGTTGAAATTGCATACAAGTTATTTCTTAATGCTGCGGAAAGCGTTGTAGGTAATGCCTGTATCATAATAGTTTATTGTTCAAAAGTAATTGGTAATAGATATGTTGTCCATCGGTGGACAACATATCTCACGTCGGCATATCGGCATCGGCACGGCGACGTCGGCCCGAGGTCGGCTTCGGGCAATCAACTGTTGCAATCACTTGTTTGTAATTTTTGTACGTTTTCCTTGATCCGAATAAGTTTTAAAATTAACTTGCTATGTGTCGTTAAAAATAGGTTGACTTAAACGCCTGAAATATTCGTTACATAAAGGAGCCTACCAGTTACGATTCAAAAGAAAAATAAGCTATACAGTGACTTGTGAGCATATCTTTTATAAGCGTCACATAACGCCAATACATTGACGCAGTCTGTTAGCATAAACAAACTAGCTGACTCATCTGAGCGCCTTACAAAACAGCGGCGGAGGATGCAGCCAAGGTGATACGACTTACTGCGTCGCTCGGCCGCCGCTGTTCTGAGGCCCCGGGGTTTTGTACGGAGGTGCTGCGTCACTGCAGAGGAGGGTCTGTGTCGCCTCCGGGCCACGGCACACAGAGGGCGGTGGGTCGACAGTACAAACAGCACTGCAGGGACACCGGTGCAGGTCGGCGTCGGACTGGTGGAGACGGCGTTCAAATGTGCTGTGGACTGAGGCGCTGTGCCGCGTATCTATCTAAGCGAAATTATGAATTTCTATTCCTTTTTGTGATTTTCAGTGATGAACGAAGGCCGAATCTAGTCGTGAATCTTGACAATTCTGTACGTATAGGTACGGGGATATAATCGTGCATATTTTTAAGGGGGAATATTTGTTTCTGGTCCCTAAAAAGCTGTTTCTGGCACCTAATTGCTGATCAGCCCCAAAATGCTTATTCGACCCTAATATCTGAATCTGGCACCTAATTGCTTCCACACAGCCTAAAGTTGCCAGATCGTCTAGTTGAACTCCGTATTTGCTGTTTGCTGATTCAGCACCAAAACCAAAACTTCCAGCACCTATTTTATTCCACGTTTGCCTACCTAATTCGCGTAATCTTCCTGATTTTATGTATCCTAACAAACATGAACGTTGCATTCGGTGATGTCAAGTGCCATTTTCGCCAGTGGAGATAATGATCCTAATGCCATTTCTAGCCAAAAGAGAATCACTAGCCAGCTATGGTGCAGCATAGCAAGACGCTCCTATACCAGCCCGCTATGTAGAGACTAGAGATTATTGCACCCTCAGCCATTTTAACGTGAAAAGTTTGGATCCGTCACTTCCAGCCAGGCTCTCAGGTCATAAACTGGAGTAAAGCAAAATGTAAACTCTGAACAGACATGCCACGCAACCGGCCCTCTTTTCAATATTATTAGTTTTCTGCAATCATCGTCTGACTCCATCTCGATCAAACGCAGCATCCGGTTTCTACAGGGGCGTGTGACTGACCGGCCACACAATAACCAAAAACAAAATCAAAGCTTCATGCACACAAATGACATAAGTAAGAAACGGATGAAAAAGGCACAACCACGGCACAACTCTGCGCGGCAAACAACGGACAATGTCCCACGCAAGATCCCGCGTTTCTTCAGCGGCCTTGAACGGAATGAAAACATTACATTTCTTTTTTGGAGCTATTTGATGACGTCAAAAAATACAATACCCGTTTTAATGGTCAAAATCGAGACAATTACTCACAAAAATGTTTCCCTTTAAGCATTACAAAGAAATGCTTTTAAATATTTAAATGACATTGTTTTTTTTTCAAACAAATCAATATTATTTGCTTACTTAAACGTCATATACAATGCTGAGATCACTACGGGGCTGTCTTAGAGTGTAGCTGCACTGGCAACCTTTAGACAAGACTCCAGGGGTCATTATACCAGAACAACATGATTCTACCAGCCAGTAGTTCATTTTTCTACTAGATTGGTGCTACGCTCAGCATTTAGGTGCCATATTCAGAAAAAAGAGTAAGGCGTACCGATGAATAGGTGCCAGAAACAGCTAATTAAGGTCATTTTCCATAATTGGTGCTGGTATCCACCAAATAGGTGCTGAGGACCAATTTTGGGGCGAGTCAGCTTTTTGGTGCCAGAAATAGCTTTTCTGGGACGCAATTAAATGGCGTCCATTTTTAAGTGCTGGAAATGTATCGTGGTAGGCGCCTATCTGCAGTCATATGCTTTACATCAGCCTCATCCCGGGTATTCCTTGGGTACATACGTGAGCGAGAGGACACGGTCGTCGGGGCGCGACGACGAGGGAATGCTCAGTAGGGACAATACCACAGTTCTCGGAGCTAGAGCAACGCCAATCGCCATGGATGAATATAGATTAGGTATGGAGGCGAATACCGGGCCCCGACGAGCTGTGGAGAGTGCTCATTAGTAATTGAAAACGTGCTAGCTCAGCATTAAATGCTCTCCTATTCAATTTCAACATTAAAGGTGTGTTTGCCTTTAATGCACAATTTAACGTTTAACGTTTCGGAGAAACACTTTCCCCCATCATCCCAATGCACAACGATTTTAGCTTATGATTCTAACAGCTTTTAGCCACTTTCTAACCAGGTGTAACCACTAGCCATGTGTCATCCAGAAAATTGATTTACCAAAGGATGTATCTGGTAACCAGACAGAGCAGGGAGGTGCCTGGTGCCTGGTGCAGCAGTCATTGGCCTACACTTAGATTTCATGGTTGAGCCACTTTACCATCGGCTGACCTATCGTGACTTTACTCTGGCGATCAGTGACGTCGCTGGCTTTTGGTAACGTCACTGGTGAATGGTGATTAGTGACGCTACTGACGATGATTGGTGACGTCACTGGTTGCAATCGGTTACTCGTCCCTCACCTGTGACAGTGACGCCACCTGTCGGCGACCTCTGTCTCCTGGCGATCCTGTTTGCCCGGTGCCATCCGGTCACAGTCCGGTCAGTTGGCAGTCCCCGGTAATCAGCTATCGACCCGTCCCACCTGGCGTGGCAGCTGTCTCAGCTGCCAGCTGAACACTTCACCGACTAAGTGCTCAGCTAACGGAGCTGTCCCGCTTTGAGAGCTGTTGAAGCTCTAGCCGTCTACAATGGGGTAGGAGAGTAGTAAAGTAATCTTGGGGTAGGATAACGGTGAACAAGTGGTATTTGCAATATTTTGCTACCGTAAGGTGGGGCTATTTGAGACAGTGGGGCTATTTGAGACAGTATTTAAAACCGTTATAAAATAAAAACCGTTTGAAATTTATGCTTAATTTTTGCTCAGGCGAATTTACTGCTGGATTCCACACCTTCCTGAGCAAAAATATCACATAAAAATCAAACGCTCTTCATTTTATAGCGATTTTAAATACCGTCTCAAATAGCCCCACTGTCTCAAATAGCCCCACTTTACGGTACCTATAGATATTTTTACGAGTTGAGCCTGACCATGGGCATTGCAAACTGACCTATGATGGCGAGATGAGATATAGGTACACTCAAGTAAAACGTATGGCTAGGTGTTCTGCTTGAGTCTGGCCCAGTGACTTCAGTTATAGAGGATATCAGCTGAAGTTAGGACATCGCATTTGAATGCTTTCTGAATTAGAACCACTCGATTTGATACACATCTCAAAGCTTGGGATGACAAACAGTTCCTCAGAAGACTCACAAAGCCATCATCCAGGCAGAGTTAACCCACGACGTCAGGCTAAATTTACCAGCACTGCGCCCCCTGCTGACGTCTTTGCCTGCGTCCGTGAAACCATTTACACGGGGCGTCGTCTCGTTGCCCGGGCAACGCCTCTCGTCTCGGTGCAAACACCGTCTATTTGAAGATCGACACACGCCGGGCGTGCCGTAATCGCCTTATGTCGGAGGCGTGTGACGCACAGACACCGATGTGAGGTTATAAATACGACAAAATAAATCGAGTTCGGTCAGTGGACGATAGGTGAACGGTCGTCACCTTAAGGACTTCTCAAAGTGATGACGTCATGAGGCAAAGGGTCAATCAGGCAGCAAAATTGCTTCGGAAGTAAGCGAACTATGAATATCTGAAATATCTGAGAAAAGACAACTGCGCTGAGGTTATCCCATTGACATTTGTTGCAGGCTTCGAGTTGCACGGCGTGATAGGCTAGCCGTTTGGTACTCGTATTAACTGCTGAATCCAGAATTGTGGATGGGAAGCTTCTCGTATTGATGTAACATATGACAGCCTACATACAACACAATGAGTCGTTTGTAGCTTGTGAAACTCGAGCGACCGGCGATGGAGACGTGGTACGAATGCCTTTACCAAAGCAGGAACGTTTTCGAGGCGATGCAAAATCTCACGTACAACACAGTCTTACATTTATTGTGCTCAGACGCATGGTGAAAACAAAATGACTCGCGAGCCGTGCTTGTCTGTTACAAATAGCTCAGTAGTTTATCACACAGGGGGCATAACCGTCTCGCTGCACGCAGTTCAGGCCATGCTAAATCAGCTGGATGCAGGGATGAAAACACTGCATGGGGGTAGATCTTAGTAAGGAGGTACAAACGCTAGCTGACAATAACAATCATCACTTGTGATAAAGCTTTACAAACCCAAACAGGCAACATCTTAACCAAAGGCGACATGTAAGTGGGGGAACATCACTATCCTATAAGCATAATCACAATATCAGGACACGCAATTACTGACTTGAGGGCCACATCACAACGCAGGCGACGGCTATCCATGCTTTAGTGCTGGTCGACTTGACAGCCTGGCGCGTCATCTATAACACACAGTGACAGCTTTGGGAGCGCAAGGGGTTACGAGCTTTGCCGCCAGGTGTCGTTGCAGTCAGCGTAGACGGCAGATCCAGGTGGCGTTAGCGGCGGTCGGCTGAGTGAGATTCGGGGTGAGTTCATTAGGTGCTGGCAGGTGCACCTCCCCGGTTCGGTATACATTTGCTGAAACACGAACAGCATTACAAAATAAGCTCTAAAGAAGACACTCAGATTACCAGCCATGTAGGTGTGTCAGACCTAGCAAAGCCATACAAGCCAACAGTCAATAAGGGCAATTTGTTTGTTCATCCCAATCGTAAATGCGTAAAATACAAATTGAGAGCAGCATATAATACAAATGACGTGATCGGGGTCTAGACTGAGTAAATGAGCTCAAACCTCTACTAACCCGTCAGTATTTAGTTCAGCCGGACCGCCGTTGGGGGCACCTGCTGGTGGCAGTCGGGCAGAACTCCGTCCGATGGAGCTGGTCCAGAGGGCGCCACAACACCGACCGCGACTCCATGTGCCGTCCGCGGGAGGTGACATCAGTCCGCAGACGGGGACATCAGCGTCACATCGCCACGTCACCATCATAGGACTGATGTCATTTCTGGCACTGATGTCTTGCATCCTTCTGGGAGCTGTACATCACACTCGAAAATCTGCCATCGCTGATTATTTGCCGTCGTACACGACTTTTTCACAGCTCGAAAGCGCAAGCGCCCTCCATCGAGGTCGCCACCCTCGTTCATTCAACATCTCCTGTCTTAAGCTGGCGCAGGGTGATCCATCGTCTCCGCACAGCGTCCCTGTCCGTTTTGTACCAAATCACCGCCGCCAGCGCCGCACTGCGGCCCATACACGGCGCACTACGGGCCGCAGGGCCGCTAAATGTAGAAATAATTCTCGTAGTCGTGGTAGCTCGGAGACTTGACGGGCGTTTTGGGCGGGTTGTGTGTGGGCGCCAGGCTTTCCAGCGAGTCCACCGACTCGAGGTTGGGCCTCCAGGGCAGCTGTAAAAGAGACACGGGGAGGGGAGGTCAGAGGCAGGCGAACAGCGACAGAGACGGGCGGGGTTCCAGTTACAGGGTTTAGAGGTGGGGAAACAGTCGAGGGGTGATGACGGACAGGGGTGATGATGACGAGAAAAACGATTGGTGCGAGTTGCGACAGAGTGACAAGTCGAGAAGCCACATGCCTTGAGAAGGGGATTCGAAATTTCTAAAATTGGTGACTGATGAGCACTTATTGCTGTCTGCACTTTTTGCTCTAGCGCATGGTATTTGGCACAAGCACTGCTCTTATTTGCGTGTTGCACAGTGCACATGACAGTGTATGTAGCCTGCGGGAAGACTTTGACAGATTTTCGTAGAATGTTCTTGCAAATCGAGCGCGACACAAAAGCAAAATTGTGTGTTTTCGACTTCGAAATGGTTCATTCATTCCAATCAGCACCGATGTTCGTCTCAATCTAGCCCGTCGCGGCGTCAGTGCAGCTCTCAATTGTCACAAGCATCTCTCAGCCTTTATCAGGACCAAAGCCCACCGCACTGTGGGTACCAATCCACCACAATTGGTAATGACAGGTCATTTCTATCGGTGGCCGACCAATTTGGTGACGTCACCCAGCATTCAGTCCACGGACCGACCTAATGGGAGAAACTAGCGACTATAAAACCATGTAATTTACGGAACGGGGGACCATCCAGCGCAGGAAAGAGAAAATTGACATCTCTCTCGCGTACCATGGATAACGTAACACGACTAACTCTCAGTTATTGGCAGTCATAATGAACTCTTCTGTTAAAAAAAACATGCGAAAAGATGTTATGTTTTTTAAGCCGTGCTGATTTTTTAAGTTTCTGAGTCGCCTCCCCACTCATAAGAAGCTGTGGCTTTGGACTGGCCTATTGGCCGAAATCTTTCGATCAATGCTAGCCCAAGTTGTTCCCTATTCGAAGCGTGAAAAAGATAAGCTCGCCGTCCATAGGTTCGCTTTCTGGTGCTGTAGCGACGAAATAACTTTCCGGAACGGGAGTACCGTCTTAAATATGCGACAACACATGCAGCAAAAATGTTCCCATTCCATCTCCAATTTCTCCACAGACCACAAATAGAACAATGGCCATTCTTATGTCGGAGAATCCCGAAATCTTCCCTCTGGGGCGGCGGGGCATTTCCTGCATCTGTCGGTCAGGCACCGTGAGTTCGGCAGAGCCGGATGCCACCGTCGACAGGCTGGTCCTCTGTATGCTATTGTTACGGGGACGTCCGGAGGGTCCATGGAACAACCGGGATCTGTTCACGCGATACGCACTAGTCCCAGGCACACAATGAAGATATTTCCCACAGGCGGGGTCGGGAGCAGATATGCCAGAATAAAGATCGGGAGCAGGACGTGATACGGGGGACGACGATCTGGTTTTCGATGATCGACGATACTTACTGGCTTGACGGGGACAACCGATTCTTCCAACAGGAAAATGAGAGGGTAGAGCGCACTTTGTGCAAGAGAGACATCATTTGCGGAAGTTTTACGGGCAGAAAGTCCTGTTACCTACATTTACCCTGCCAAAGGATAACGTAACGATACCACCACTGAGTAAAAACTTTTTTGAGAATAAGGAAGTTCAAATACCTGAAATAAGGAAGTCCTTAAACATTCAGTTCTCGCTCAAAAATACATATTCCAAACATGGTCTCTCCCAGCAAACCCGGCAGAACCATCTATCGTAATCGTGCCGTACCTACCTTTCTCGGCCTCCTGGCCGCCTGCTCCCGCTGCAGCACGAAGTAGTAGTGGTCGCGGTCCTTCCACCCACACTGAACCTGCACAGGCCGGTCGGTGGGCCGCAGGCGCCGCTCATACCGCGCTGTCCGGCACACCTGGACAGGGGCAGGGGTCAGTGCAAGGGGTCAGTGCAGGGGCCAGAGGTCTGTACAGGGGTCAGAGGTTAGCACAGAGGTCAGTAAAGGGGCCAGAGGTCAGTACAGGGGTCAGAGGTCAGCGACCAGCGGGGCACCGGGCATAGAGGGGCACAGGGTGAACTGCATATAACCGCGAGTCAGCATGGCGAGCTGATAGCGTAGGAAGTGAGCTTAGGTCAGGAAAATGGTATGCAAGATCAACAAATCATTTATATACACTGTGCAAATCATCAAGTGCACAAGTGAGGTAAGCAAAGGTGGCATGTAAGTTGGGTGGCAAGAAAAGGATTGCTTCCGTGATGGCATCATCTAAAACATCCGCACGGTCCCTGAATTCATGGATATGAAGCAAACTTTCCGAGGTCCAGTTTTACAAACCCATCATGTTTGACTTTCCATACACGATGTTGGAAGCGAAGAAAAACGAACCACGCTGTGCAAGTGATATGTCAAACCATATACAGCGCAGTACCTACACATAACACAGCATTCATATTTCCCACAAAAAATACGATGAATCAGTTCCACGAGCTAGGGGAGTTGTCAGACTGGTGGCATGTTTACATCGACACAAAAAAGGCTGCATCGTGGTATATCCAACAGCGCTGCTACGGGATCGTTCAGTATGGGGGATTCCTGGGCCCCTCGTCACCCTCGCGGCAGGGAAGGGGTTGCGGGTGGGGTACCTCGAGCAAGAAGAACCGATCGGGCGGCTCTCGGCAGTTGTTGCAGTTGAGGATGAGTCGCAGCAGATCGGTGGTCTCTGTCCGATCTGACACCAGCAGGCTCTTGTAGTGAGACTGAAACAACGGTGGAATGTTTGAAACAGGTGCAAAACATTGTGAGAGTTACATAAGGAAACAATGAATAAACCAAAAACTACGAACATGGTTTTTAAGTAAATCGCCTTACAACAAAATAATATGATGATTGGCATTATCCCTCGCCTCATTCACGATAAAAAAGCAGTAAGTACCACACTTGATAAAACAGCTATTTGCATTTAATTTAGAAACATTTTCTTATCAAACTTACCCCTTGCATGAGTATCCCATCGTAGATTCGAACCAGCCCGCCTTGCCGCATTCTCAGAATTAACCTGAAATAAAAAAACGCCATCACCAAAATGCACTCAAGCTTCATACCTATCGGTGTGCCGTCTTCTGCACACAGTTAGTTATTGAACATATTGCAGAGCCCCGAGTTTATGACGTGTGCCTATTCGATTCTCGGAAATATAGTAACACTTGTGTTATCAATCCTGTCATAACGTCTCAAAAGTGATGTTGCAGATACGGTCGTGATATTTGGTATCGTTCTGACGGTTCACAGTCATGTTTCACTGCACTCGTTTTGCAAACAGACCTGTTTGACATAGGTTTCCACTCATTACACTGATACAGACTATCGTCATGTCGTGTGCATAAGATCTGCCAGGCACACGTTTGATACGATCCAACATACTGTATTGCACACGTCCACGTGAGCAGATTTGTTCTGTTGAATTACCAACACTGAACCAGCAACATTAGCAGGTGATCTATTAATAAACAGCATCGGTTTGTAGAACTCATTAGAAGTACAGCTCATTTAAATTACTGTTGTACCTAATAAATGCCTCGATTACAATTGCCATTGGCATTTGGTAGGATCAGGGGGCAGTAATTGCAGGAGGTATAATAGGTAAAGTCGTGTCGTTATGACATCAGTGAGCATCAAGCTCAGAATGCTCATAGTGGACACGAGACTCGCTCAGACCTTTCCCACCGTGAGCCTAATGAGCTGCGATCTTTTCCCCAGTCTTCCTCCCTCAATAATGAATTCACTCACGAACCTACACACTACACAGCCCCTCGCCGCTTCACGTTCACGGCTTGGCGAGGTCGTCCGCTCGCCCGAATATGTGACCCCTGACCCGACCATATCGACTGCGGGCCGTCGTGATGGCGCCGCGTCACGGGACGTGATGCTATCCGGAATGTGACGCCGGCGGCGGTGTGTGAAGGCATGTGACGGTTCGTGACGAGCCCTGATGGACCTTGGGTGAACGTGATGCATCGTGAAGGTCCGCGATAGGGGATGAGCAACAGAGGCCGGTGTGGTCGGTAAAAGAACGTTGCACGTAGCTGCAATGTTTAGTGTAGGTGCTCTTTATCCGATCGCAAGAAAGTATGCAACTTGGAACATATAGTTGCAAATGCATCGGAGGTCTTTGACGAGGTAGAAGCTTTTGAAGAATAGGGCGAACATAGCGCTCCTCGGCTCTCTGACCTCAAAACTCCTGAGCGTTGAGAATAAAAATGCCGCTATTTAGCCTTGAACGCCCTGAGAAGTCTGAGTCAGTCTATGGGAGTCCGTGCTCCCCCATTCCCAGCCCAGCGAGTCAATGGGAGAGTGCACTGGGAGCTTGTCCCGGCGCGGGCAGGGGGCGGCCAGGGGTCGCGGGAGCAGGCTGACACCGTGACTGGTCTAGCTGCCTCCTGAGACGGTCTGCAGCGAGCTTCATAAAGGATAGACACGAGGGCCACGTCAATTAAGGAGAGAGACACACACGAGGGCCAGGCCAGACGCCGGCATAGTTGGCTCTCACAGTCGGTAAGTCCACAATATTAGTTGACGGTGCATGAGACGTGCAGAAGAAACTATGGGGCCGAAGTTGGTAAAGACTGACTAACTATAGGTATAATTGGAAGCGGAGGCTTCATCGTGTATTCGAGAATATCTGGCTGAAATGATCCAGGCAGCTTTCAGAACACATAGTTCAAATATCACTGCACCGTCTCACATCACTCCTAGGCGTAGTTAATCAACTTAACCCGGCCGTCCATCCCTGGTGCCGACCGCCTCCCCAGCTAATTTCCCTCGCCCATGACACCCCCTGGGAGTGATCAGCCTCGTGCCGGCACATAACGGGGACATCTACTGTGTCCCAAGGCACCGGGAGGACCGTTCGCAGCATATAATCTGTCCCTTGGGATACCCATTAGCTTCACTACGGATCACCCTTATGTGATCCGTGGTCTCACAACGCCCGGTCAGGCGCCAGGGTATTTCCGTCCTTCTCAACCCTTGGGGCGACGGGGGTAAACGGGTGAGATATAGGTACGAACAGAGAAATAGACCATGAACAGATAGGCCAGAGACTGACCAGACAGATAATATGACCAGAGGTGAGCATACATATCGATCACCTGGCTCTGCGCTTCGGAAAATGGTCTGCTACTGCCGTAAAACGGCCGGATATTGGCCGGAAACGACCGGAAAACGACCGGAAACGAGCCGGAAACGGGCGGAAACCCGACCCAAGCGCGCACCGGCCGCTCGTGTCGTGATTTAGCTGTGGGCAGGACGCTATCACTTCCTCTCAAACGTGACCCTGGCTATGTAATGTGCACGTGCCGCTGTGTTGGTGGCTTTAGCGCTGTTTGGGTGTTTGCGACGCAGCCGACGCGTGTCCGGTGCCCCGTGAGAGAAAGGCCCGCCCCGCGGGCGCCGGACGCCGGCCATCCGGCACGGCGCGGCACGGCTTTTTGTGGTCATCGGCAGCTCGAAGAGCCGTTCCGCACGCCTGGATCACAGGAATGCGGCGCGTGCAAGCCTCCCTTCCGCAGAGAAACCCGCCCGGCTAATCCCGATCGGCTCTTGATGGGTTGTGACGCCGTCAAAACAGCTTAGCCATCAAACGTCCTCTCCTTGACGCGCCTTCAATAGGCCTCGAGATGCAGGAGACTCGTCGGTCCTGGCGTGCAAATTTTTTCACAGAATCTGGGGTCGTTGCATACTTCAACTTCAACACGCGCTGGTTTTATATGGGGTGCGAGCCGTGTGTTTGGACGGAAATTGTGGTCGGCGTCGTCACGTGACGGAGTTCGTGGTGCATAACTACCGGCGCGTGCCGACGTTTCAACACGACCCCTCGTGCCGGGTGTACCATTTCAGTGGCCACCAGGTGCCGGTCAAGGCCGCGCGCCGTCACGAGATGCGGTGTGGGGTTTCCGCCGCGGGCAGCCGCCGATTTCGGTCAGTGGATTCATCGTGAGGGCCTGTGGGCTGTGTTATGTGTAATATGTATGGCTGGAAGTCGTTCTCTGGGTAGACTGTGGGAAGTGTTACATTTACAAGCTGAAAACTCTGAATTTGTGGTTTGATATACTGCGAACTTGAAGAATATTGCGGGATATTCAGGGCGTATTTTAACATGTTAACTGGGTCGGCAATTGCCGACCCAGTCACGGAGAATGCCGACCCAGTGACAACCGTTTGCCGACCCAGTTGCCGCCCCCTTTAGGATGCAGCACGCACATGCAGGCTAGGTGCCGTCATTCATAGTGAGGCTGCTGCCCTCCGAAATTATAATGCCGCCTCTTTAAGTGAAGCAGCTGTCTATAGAAAGTGATGATCCCGCAACTCAATGTGACAGTGCCGCCCCTAAACCTGTTAGTAGCCCCACTCAATGTTATGGTGCCGCCCTTCTAAGCATCTATGGAGCCCCTCAATGTGATGATACCGCCCCACAAGAAGATGATGCCGCCCCTTTCAGTATCGGTGGCGCCCCTCAATGTGATGGTGCCGCCCTTAAAGTGCCGTTGGCGCCCCTGAATGTGATGGTGCTGCCCGCCAACGAGTCGGTGGCGCCCCTCAAAATGATGCTGCCGCCCCTTAAAGTGTTGGCGCCGCCCCTCTAGGTGTCCACATAGCCCCTCATTGTGATGGAGCCGCCCCTCAAGCAGATGATGCCGCCCCTCAAGAAGATGATGCCGCCCCTGAATGTGATAGTGCTGCCCGCCAACGAGTCGGTGGCGCCCCTCAAAATGATGCTGCCGCCCCTTAAAGTGTTAGTGCCGCCCCTTATAGTGTCAGTGACGCTCTTCAAAGTGTCAGAGGAACCCACCAATATAATGGTGCCGCCCCTCTAGGTATCCACATAGCCCCTCATTGTGATGGAGCTGCCCCTCAAGCAGATGATGCCGCCCCTCAAGAAGATGATGCCGCCCCTTTCAGTATCGGTGGCGCCCCTCAATGTGATGATGCCTCCCTCAAAGTGCCAGTGACGCCCCTAAATGTGATGGTGTCTCCTGTCAACGAGTCGGTGGCGGCCTTCAAAATGATGCTGCCGCCCCTAAAAGTGCTGGTGCCGCCCCTTACAGTGTCAGTGGCGCCCTTCAGAGTTTTGGAGGAACTCATCAATACAATGTTGCCGCCCTCTAACTTTCTGTAGCGTCCCTCCATAAACATACATAATGGTGCCGCTTCTCAAACCATCCGAGACGCCCCTCAAAGTGATGGTGCCGCCCCTTACAGTGTCGGTGGTGTCTCCTCAAAAGTCAAGGCGCCGCCTCTCAAAGATATACTGGTGTCCCTCGAAGTGTCGGAGGCGCTCCTCAATGTCATGTTGCCGCCCCTCAAACCTTCCGTAACGCCCCTCCACGTCATGGTGCCGCCCCCCAATATGCTCACGGCGCCCTTAAATGTGATAGAAGCGCCGGTCAAAGTGATGACTGTGCTCCTGGCAGTGTCAGTGGCGCCCCTTATAGCGTCGATGGCGCCCCGAACAGTATCGGTGGTGCCCTTCAAAGTGATGATGTCACCCTCAAGGCTCAAACAAACGGTGGCGCCCTTCGAAGCATCGGAGTCCCTAAATATCATACCTATTGCCGCCCATTAACGATCTGTAGCGCCCCTCCATATGATAGAGCTGCCCCTTAACCCGGCAGTTGCTGGGGTATTTCGCCACCCACCGTTTGCTGGGGGGGGGGGGCGTTAAACGCCCCCAGCCGATAACTGGAGAACCAATAGGCGCAGCGAACTGCACGAGGCGGCAAACGAAAAAAAACGCGACGAGACGCTTCAGATGAGTACTTTAAAGTTGAATTTTAAGTCACAGATCGGGTCAAGGTCAGGTCAAACACCTAAAATCGGGCTTTCAGTAGCATGGACTTCAGGACTTCGCAATGGGCGCCTCTCGTCATAAACTCTGTCAAAACGGTGCACAAGCCATCAAATAAGGTCTACAAGAGTGTCAGCTCCATGTAGGGGTCAGTCAAGCATAGGTCAGGGTCAAGGTCAGGTCAACCGGGTAGGCACATAGGTATCCCCGAAAATCTAAACTGATATTCGCAGCCTGTGACACATGTTTCATGGGTAATTTGGGGCGTAGAACACGATGGTGACATTCATTTTGTCATATGTGTACGTGTTTGGCTCAAAAAGTTCAATTTAAGAAATGCATGTATCATGGTCGTGAAGAAGTCACGAGAAATTGCCAAGGTTCAGTTCAAGATTTTGGAAAATGCGGAACGATAATCAATAATCGAAGATAGCTATTTCATTGTTCAAGGTATTGGCAGTCTAATGACGTTTACGACATGTCTGTATGTCTATTTTGTGATTTTATATGATTTTTTGAACATATGCCGTTTTTGGTCATAAACTCATAAATCATCACGTCACTAAAACCTCGATATCTCAAAAATTTTCCGACAGATTTTTTTCTTTAACTTTTCAAAATGACCTTCAATCAATTCCCTACAGGTACCCAAAATTTGGCGTGCCTGCGGCCCGCCGTTTTTATGCTATGACCCGGCGAAAAAAGTGGGGGCGTTCAACGCCCCCCCCCCCCCCCCAGCAACTCGCGGGTTAACCTTCGCCCCAGTGGGGGGGGGGGGCATATGTTACCACCCTGTCGCGTTTTTTGCGTGTGAATGAAAAACCGCGGCGCGTAGCGCCGCGCCGCTTGGGGTAGCTTTTGGTACATCAATTTTGGACAATGTGTGAAATTTTTGACCCCAGGTCATGTCAGGTCAGGTCACCAGGTCAAGTTAACTGACCAAGCCTAAAAAAGTTTGCAATCATGTCCAGCCTGCAGTGTTTGTCAGAAAGGTTTCAAACTTGGTGGATTGCATGCTGTTATGGGCGCCTACAATTTGTATATCTCGGATTTTTTATATCCGTGACCTAAGGTCAGGTCAGTGGCGTGACCTTTCCATTACAAGTCAATGGAGAAAAATGAAAATGCCTCTAGATCCGTGTGTACGCATAGGAACAGTCCAAATATTTCAGAATCACAATGATTTAGTCCACTCGTGATGACCAAGGTGTCATTTTTGCTGATAGCCTCTAGAAAGGTCATGCGAGGTCATTTGAGGCTACAAACAGTTTTTTTGCCAATAACTCGCGATTGGAAAGAGATAGAACGCTGGGGATGGTCTCATTGTGTTTGTCTTGTTGAGACGCATCGACTGATATGCAACATGACCTTTTCCGGTCAGGTCATGACCTTGACCTGAGGTCAAATTTTTAAGTTGACCTTTCAAGGTCAAATTATAGTTCATTCGACGCGTCTCGGCGAGAGGAATACGATTCTGGCAATAGAAATGTCGTGACTTTTTGTAGTCCAAAGTTATTGTCGAAAAACACTTTTCGTAAAAACAGCTATTTTTGGAGTTTTTGCCCTCTGGAGGCTAAACCGTTGACCTGAGGTCAATATTAATTATGACCTTTTCAAAAGAAGAGTTCAAAAGCTATCGATTGCACTTCCATGCGTTTTTCTAGCTACCATAGTTCCTGAGATAGCGGCATGTTTTCTGAAAAATATAATGACAATTTGCAAATTTTGACCTTTGATGACCTCTGGTGACCCCAATATTGCTCTTAGGTGAAAAATGACCGAAATACTTTCAGACGTACGCATTGAGAGCTATCGACTGCTTTTTACCACGTCTTTCTAGCCCTGTTAGTTTTTGAGTTAGAGGTGGGTGGTAACATATGCCCCCCCCCCCCCCACTAGGGCGAAGTTGGCTGAGACCGCCACTGGGGCGCGGGTTAAAGTATCCGCGGTGGTCCTTAAAGTTACAGTGCCGCCCCTTACAATGTGGTGGTGTCCTCAAAATAAAAGTGATGTTGCCCCCCGAGTAATGTTGGCGTCTCTTCTTTAAGTATCGGAGGCACTCCTCATTGTCATTTTGCCCCACATCACTGCGCACATGGCGCCCTTCAATGTAATGTTGCCACCCCCAACGCTCAAAGAGATAATTGCGCTTCTCACAGTGTCGGTGGTGCCCCTCAAAGTGGTTTAAGTGCCCTAAAAAAAGTTGGTGGCGCGCCTCAAAATGATGCTGTCGTCCCTTAGCATATCTGCAGCGCCCCCAAAATGATGGTGCCTTCCCTTAACCGGCGCCGGGCTGAGGCTGTTTGAACCCCCCTCCCGACCCCTATAACTTGGCTACTGGGCCACGTAGCGACACGCGGTAAGCGGCATTCGAAAGAGTGTCAAAAACTACTTGGGTTAGTTGGTTAACCGTACTTTGGTTAGGTCAAGTCAAATGTCAAATATCAGGTGACCAGAGGTCATCAAAGGTGAAATGTGGGTGAAATGTTGTCTGTTTCAACATTTATTGACAAACTGGCGTATAATTCGGGGAAGAATAGAACTACAGCACCGCGAAAAAAGCGCATTCGATAGCTCTTCAACGTTCCTATAAAGTCCTCAGACTTGACCTAACATCAACGGCTTAACCTCCAGAGCACAACTAGTTTAACCCGTGCCGGGCCGGGGAGGGTTGGAGTGGACACTGGACAGTGGACCCCCCTCCACCCCTCTACTGAGCTGTTTTAATGAAGAACCTTTTTACTGTAATAATTATTACAGTAAATAGTAATAATAATAATTATTATTATAATTATTGACTCACGAAAGTTATGACATTGTTTTTTTTTCAGTACTGTGCTCCTCTCGTCGAGATGCGTCGAATGAACTATAATTTGACATTCAAATGTCATTTGGGAAATTTGAGCTCAGGTCCAGGTCATGACCTGACTGGTAAAGGTCATGTTGCATATCAGTCGATTTGTATCGTCAAACTGAAATCATCTAAGGTGTTTTCATCGCTCAGGCATGTCGCATGTCTCTATCAGAAGTTATTGAAAAAACTGCTGGAGGCCTTCCATGACCTGACATGACCTCAAGGACATAACGAGGGGTCGTGGTCGTGGGTGGCAATTTTCCGATTAAGTATGTCATTTTTAATTGTTTTATGATGTTTAAATTCGTTAACTTTGTCTTTGACATTTCTCTACCTATAAAAGAGGCACATGCCCTGATTTTCTCCCATTTCCTTATACCTAATGGAAGGGTCGCAAAATTGTCCTTACCTTTGGTCAAAGACATAGCAATTTCGAGACTTACATTTTATATATACAGTTACACACTGTTTGTCTTATCAATCGCTGACGTTATAAAGGGATCGTTCAGTCGGTGTATCTATGGTGAGCATTTGCCTGTTCCGTAGCTCAGCTGGTAGAGCACCGTATACTTCCCGCATTGCCTTCGCTTGCGTTTTGTCCGCCGGCCGAGCCGGAGAGAAAGTTACCGAGTGAAGTTCATTCAAATTTCAAAAACTCAATGAAAATGTCACTGGGGTCACGAAAATATTTGAGTAGGTAGGTATACCATTCATTAACGTGAGGGGGGGGATGAACGTATCGTTGCAATACGCTGTTCATCACGCGAGTAACTAATAAATAAAAAATGTATGAGTTCATCCTTACTCCACCCGCTCTCCCTCTCCATAAAAAAGAGTTAATTGTGTTGCATTTTATTTATATGCAGAAAATAGATGCGTCAAAGGGTATGGCCGAATATCAGCGACCCTTGCTGTGTAAGCAATGGGGTATGATTAGTGGCGGTAATGGCCCCGTCCAGCGCCCATAAAGTGGACACCACTCGTGCGACCTGCCGACCACTGTTCTATGTATAGATAGAGCCATAAAACACCGTGAATGTTTTAAGCTTGACGATACGAATCGACTGGTAGGTATGCAACATGTTTTATTTCTGGTGAGGTCATGAACTTGACCTCAGGTAAAAATTTTAAATCAATATTTGTAAAGTCAAATTATAGTTCATTTATCGCATTATGACGAGAGAAATACTATATCCCGGAAAATAAACATAATACCGCTGAGCTTAGGTTGAATCTGAAATCATTACTTAGAAGGAGCTATAAAAGAACCGTCGAACGTTTCTTTTTTGGTCATTAAATATCAGTAGGTATGCCGCCCCCCTCAGATGCCAAGTGCCGCCCCTATGAGTGCAAAATGCCGCCCCTAATTGTGATTGCCGACCCAGTGAAAATCCCTTAAAATACGCCCTGGGGATATTGGTGGTTTATAGGCAGCCATCGTGCGGCTGTGAAGACTAATAAAGCGCTAGGAATGTCTCAACTCTCAACCGGATGAACATGTCAATTCAAACATCATCCAAATCTCGCAATTCTAGGCGCCCATCTGGTCACTTCAACATAGTGAACCCACATACAAACACGTGACTGCATGCTAATCTCATAATTGTCGTAAATAAAGAGATACGTAGGTAAATGATAAATGGTTATTCCATGGCTACTTTCTTTACGAAGCTTAAAATGGCCCTGCAATGTGCTATTTTGTTCAATAGTTATCTTGCCTGTTCAAAGTGTTATTGCAATAGCCCGCACACTGTTTTAGACTCTCACCTGGTATCTCCCTTTGGCCTGCACGCCTGCAGCTGGGCCGGCTTCGCCTCGTCATCAAGAACCAGCACCGTTCGGGCGGCGTTTTCTGGGAACATCAGAGGTCACAGGTCACATGGGGTTGGAGGTGGCATAGGGTCGCCGCCGGGAAGGGGAGACAGGGTCAATGGCAGTTTGCAGAAGGCTGCAGTGAGAATCTCTGAAAGTTATTAGACGCAAATATTACGAGAAATGCCAAAACGACGCTTAAACATAGTTCAGCATGTTTGGTCTATCTTTCAGACATCAAAAGGGTGCATCTAGCTGTCATCTCCTGGCGATTGGCGACTAGACTCAGCTCCATTAGCATTCCCCACTACCTTGACCGATAAGAGTGGGTCACATGACCGACTGAGCAAACTACCCGACATCCGCCGCCGCCCTACCTCTGCCGCCGGAACCGGCGCAGTTCCGTTTGGCAGTCCTATATCACCTCTGCGATACGGACCCCCTCCGGACCAACCACTGCTGCACCCCAGAACGCACCACTGCACAAATAAACTCAGTCCGGAGCGGCCGGCGTGCTTTGGAGGTCCCGCTGCGACGGCAGTGGGGCGCGGGAGGGGGCGGGAGGGGGGCGGAGTGGCCCGTCACCCATCCCCGACCCTCAGACCCGTCCACCCTGTATATTTGGATAGGCAAACGAGCGGACCGCAGAGGTGCCCGTGTCTGTCATCGGGCGGATTCAAGGCGGCATTGTTTGAACGGGCGGAGCAGCGCTGGCACGCGCGTCCTAGGGAGAGAAAAATGTGGCTGCAGCCAAGGACAAGTGGCCGCCTCCTGATGGGAGTCTCCGCGGTTAGGCCGTCATAATTCACCCACTCGTATGACTGGCAGGTGAAGAATAGAGCCCGAGTGGCAGACGGTATAGAGGTTGCGCCTGTTGTCAGATCGATGAGGCGCGCGACTTCGCGTATAGAAGCCAGAGTACAAAAGAACGAGATTGTATCAATTATCTTTAAATACGGAACAGTGTCAAGGTCGTGTGTCTATAAGTAAAACATTGTTCTTTATCACAACTAAGCTTCAAGCATGGCTGCGGATGCATGTCGTATTATTTCAGACACATTCCTCATCCAAATTTGGATCGGCATTCGACTAATACGAGCATACCGATTTTGCATCGGCTACCATCTAAGCACTAAATCCGCTTACGTAGCGTCAAATGTGCCTGTTATGTCAGCAAGCTGGACATCTGCTGGGCTACTGGTCACCTGTAGGTGCAAAGTATAATGTCGCCCCGTATTTAGCGCCGCAGGGTCCCCCCCGTCGCCTGGTGCCGCAACGCTGTTGTTTGACACTGGTTTCTATTACTCTTGATCGTCCAAAAGAATTCACGTAACGCTTTGGTAGCAAGCAATATGCACTTCCGAGACACGAGAGGCACATACATATTGATGACTTTGACTTAACGGGACATATACATAACCTGTTTAGATAGGTTTGAGACGTTTCGTGGCATTAGCTTCCCTGGCACAACTCATGTTGGTGCTTAAAGACCGAAAGTCAAAACAGATTCGGAGTAAGCAATGAATCACTTCAGCAACAATCAGATAGGCGCCTCCACCCTTCAACACCTTTTCCCCCAAAGCTAGCCTTTCTCCTTCCACAGTCTCCCTCCCATCCCTCCCTCTTCCCTTCTCCTCCCCTCGCGAGCCTCACCTGCCGACCTCACGCCGACCTCCATGGTGAGGAAGAAGAGGTTCGGGTCGCGGTGCTTCATCCGGTACTTGTTGAGCAGCGTCGACACCAGCTGGCGGCAGGTTGTGTCGAAGGTGACGCTCAGCGTCTTGTACTCGATGTCGGACCGAAGGCACCGTGCGTACACCTTGACGGGAATCTGCGGCGGCCGAGAGGAGGACAGCGTCACAGGGGCGCTCGTGGTGGAGTTCGAGACGTAACACGGTCGGCGACTTCTTGGTGAGACGCTCTGGGTATAACCTGAGGCGTAAACCACGGTGTGGTCCGGGGAGTGACCCGGACAGGTAACAGAGGTCGCCACACGTCCACGGGGCAGCGCAGAGGTCACAGAAAGACGGACGCTCCTGTTATCTGCCATCACCACAGAGCGGGTCACTCGCGTGCACATGTTCCTCGCGCACAGGTGCACCGGTGGCAGGCGTGCCGCACTGCTCGGGTAGCGGATAGCGACTGGTTCGCCAGGTCGAAGGATCGCGGCCCACGCTGGGGAGGTCCAGCCGATACCAGCCCAACCGCAGAGGGCGGCTCGGCTCCAGCGGCAGACGTTTTCGGCGGATTTTTGTCGTGCTGTGTCTAACAGGACTGCTGATAAAATCTGGGGGTACGGAGAATGGGTGGAGCCACGCGAGGGTGGCTGGGACAGCGGTGAGGCAATCGGTAAGGTAGACAGGTGCAGTGCTCTCGGTGATTGCAGCCGTTTTCCTGGTGGAAAAGTGCAAAAACTAAGAACTCGGGACGTGAATGAGATGTCAATATGTCATTACAGCCACAGATCAATGTGATTTGAAACACGATCTGATGTAAGGTCAATGTGATGGTTTTGATAAGGCCCCGTAAATTGACGAAAAATGCGGTGCGAAATACGTTATGTGCGTTAAAGCCTTCAACACATATGTGAAGCAAGTAAGGCAGGTGTTCTTTACAGTTCGGTGAATCAAGAACAATAGAAATCTCGAGAACCACTCAAATTAGTCCCAGCCTAAATCCAGTAGGAAAGGAAAGGCAGATCAGACGTGAACGGTGCAGATGACTGATGAGACCGGAGACGGACCACGGTAGACGAGGACGGTCTTACTTTCGCTCAATGTTCTCACGGGATTCACACGAGCTGGCTGTCACAGACATTACACGATTGCATTCCACTTTCATTGCACGTTAATTGTGCGAATTAAACACACAAAAGCACACCATTTGGCCATATCATGACAGAGTCTCCCAGGGGCTAATCAACTGCGCTATATTTCTGGGTGATTTATAGCTATTATAGTTGAAGCATAACAGTTAGCGTGACTGAAATCGTTGCATGATCATAAAAACCAAGACAAGCAAGTAGCCGTTCTTAAAAAGTCAGGTGTTCGATGACTGCAAAGATCGTCCCACCGCCGAATACCGGGCCAAACGCATAGTTATGAGCTATTTTGCAGCGATGATTAGACTATATTGATAGGAAATTTGTGTATTGGAGACCAAAAGCATGATATTTTCATCTTTGAGCGACGCTCATAACTACGATAAAGTCTAACCAGGTGCCAGGAAGAAACTCCGACAAGTGAATGGTGATGGTGAACTAATTAACTGGCTCAAATCGAACAGGAAAACATGCCCTACGAACCATTTATCGACTTTGTAAAACTCAATATCGTATGCTTTGGTACAAGCTTTGGTGTCGGAGTGGCCTTGAACAGTGACACGCTGACACAATTACAGCAAGTGAGAAGGAACCTTTCATTAGGGCTGGCACTTTTGTCAGCACCGAGGGTGGTTCACAACCGTCACTTCCTAACGATGTAAACGACATGCAATGACGCATCACTATTTGAAATACGGTCACTGTCGCGGCCACGCGCCGGCCTGTGCTCGACGGGACGCCGCGCCGCGCGGCGCCCGACTCTCCTCTGGCGGAGCGGACTGTAAACACTCCTTTCTGGGGCTAATCAGACCAGCGGGTCCACGGCATTTGGGTGAAATAAAACTCGTGCGACCCTATTCAACACAAGTAGGCGAAGGGCTTTAGGCAGATCGATCGGATATGAAGGATGGCCACAATTCAGCAGCCAGGAGCCACGGCAATTCAGCGTGACACAGGTGAGAGATAGAAGTCACAATTCAAGCGACAAGGAGGCCCACAATTCAGCAGACCAGGAAGGGTAAAATGGGAAGGTTAAGTGAGTGGAGATAGAAGTCACAATTCAAGCGACAAGGAGGCCCACAATTCAGCAGACCAGGAAGGGTAAAATGGGAAGGTTAAGTGAGTAGAGATAGAAGTCACAATTCAAGCGACAAGGAGGCCCACAATTCAGCAGACCAGGAAAGGTAGAGGAGTGGAGGTAAGGTAACTTGTGTAGAATGAAGAGTTGCGCACGCGCCGCACACGCCCGATTCTAACTCCGCCCGCTCACTGCTGCTCACTGTGTCTCGTTGCTTCCACACTTCCCGACACAGCACTGAAGAGGTATTTCTATATTGCGGTGTCCAACGAACGGTGCGACGGCTACGACAGGACAGAGGCACGTCCGCACGCTGCGGAGGCCAGAACAGAACAGGGCGAGAAACATGTTTACATCAGCTTAAATATGACGAAAAATGGGGTCACGACGAATAGCGCAGATGGGGAGGCTGAATAGATCCGGAAACGAAGGGAGAAGAAAAACACGTCTAGCGACGCGCAGCGGTCCCAAAATAGCCGCACCTGGCCGGTCCGCGCGCCTACCTGGGACGGGGACGCCGGCGTGGACAATACAAATTCCAGACGCCGCCGTCAAAAACAGGGGGCCCGTCTCGGCCCTCCCAGGCTGCGCGGCGGCGGAAGGGTCAGGCGGCCCGGTCAGGCCGGGCCCGGGCGGCCGGCGCCCTCGCGGCCGGCCGGTCCCGGCGGTCTACCTGGCCGGCGACGAGCCACAGCCGGTGCATATACATTTCATACGTACATGCGGCGGTCACATCCCGCCCCCCGTGTTCGACTCCACGAGAACACTAAACACAGTACCGCCGCTGATGTATCGGCTGGTAGACGGCCTCGACTGGGCTGCGTCTGGAGAGGGCGAGCAATCGTCGGCTTTCTCTAACCGGCTGGCGCGAACGAAACACGATACACATATTTACATAACTGTTCTCAGCATTTGCACACTTTACTTCCAGCACCTCAATCTTGACGCCGGGCCATCTATCCTCGCATCGTCCTGCCGCCTTGATCTGGACAGAATGGACTCATCCATCTGGTCCCGGCAACACCTGGGTCACGCGGGCGAGCGGCCGCATGTCCCGCGGCGTGTTGGAGTCGTGTTGGAGACTGTGGCACTGGCTGGCTGTGTTTGGTCTTGGAAGCTCCTGTAGATCGCGACTCCCCTTTCTGCTCGGACAGGAGCTCTCCAGCGCTGACTCTGCTCTGCACAAACATCACCTGTAGCGCCGGATCTGGGTCGAGGACATGCGCCGCCCCCGGTGCTGCTGCGTCTGCTCCATCGTTGCCTGCATCAGGCTTTGTCACTGGGTCATCAAGTTGTCGCGACCTGACTGGCCGACTGCCGTGGAGAAGGGCGTGATGTCGGTACTTGCAGCCATCCCTTTCGCAGCGCCTTGCTTTTCGGCAGTCTACCACGCGATGGCCCTTCCTGAGGCAGTGGAGGCACAATCTCTGGCTGAATGCGTGTTTGAGCCTGGCATCAGGAGACTTCCCGATGAAGATCTGACACTGCTGCAGATCGTGCTGGCCTTCACATGCCGAGCACATCTGCTTGTGCTTTGGATTGGCGACTGCGAAGAAGGTTTGTCTTTGGACGGTCTCACCGGCGCGTTCCTTTCTTTGCCTGGCGCCGACTTCTTCGCCGTCCCCTTTTCCCTTGGGACAGCTTCTGCTGATCTTCACTTGGGTCTTCAGCCACGAGTCCACGTCTAGAAGTGATGGTCTGGTCGGCTTCAGTCCCAGCGAGAACTTTCCCCACTCTCTTCTCAGGTCCCGAGGTAGTTTTTCCACCGTCCGATGCAGGCTATCACTGCTGTGAATGTCAGCATCTGCCCCCATGCTCTGGAGGATAGTCACGGCGCAGTGTACCGTCGCTTGGAATCTTTCCAGCGCTTCTGCATCATCTTCCATCGGGTCTGGGGCGTTGAAGATGCTGTTGAGGTTGTGTTTGATGATATCGTCATCTTGACCAAACCGCTCCTCGAGGGCTTTCAACGCTTGGTGGTACAGACTTCCATCGTATAACATGCCAGAAATTGTCTGCTGGGCCAGTCCACTCACCGATGACTGAAGGTGGGCGATCTTTTCTGTGTCCGAGAGGGACGGCTGATCATGCACCAGCGCTTTGAACAATCCGCTCCATCTCGGCCATTCTGACGCCTTACCACTGAAGGTCGGAAGGGTCAGTTTTGGGATACTCTTCGCGAAGGCTGAAAACGGAGCTGCGCTCTCTGCGCGCTGGGTCTGACGCGGACTGCGCAGCTCTCCTATCCATGACGTGTTGTGCCTCATCTGGTGAGATCCTGAACCTTTGACCGGTTGTTTACGACGTTCCTCCATTTCATGGCTTGGTGCGGTAGCTGGCCTCTCACAGCACAGCTGTACTTCTCGCTGATGACTTCTGATTCCGGCTTCCTTTGTTGCAAACAACTCATCTTCGAAATCGTTCCTCCTTTCGTGTTGGAGGTCATCGTTGAGCTCTCTGCGCAGATCAGCTTCGAGCTGGGCTGCTTCAGCTTCATCTTCAGCATCTTGAAGCTGTCTTCGTCTTTCGGCTTCTCTCTCCTGCCGCCGTCTCTCTTCTTCTCGGCTTTCTTGCAGTCGCTGTTCTTCTTGCCTGCGCTTAAGCTGCTGTAGGCGCAGTGCTTTTAACTTAGATGCAACCTCTGCTTCGACTTGAGATGCTCTTGAGACGGCACTCGTCTGGCTCTTCTGAGCGACAGAAACGACAGAGCCGGCGTCTGATGGCGGCTCATCTCTGCGCTCCGCTAGATGCTGGGTGATTCTTTCGATGATATCTTCTCTATCACGTTCTGCCTTGGCACAGTACTTCTCTGCATCAGCCTTATCTGTTTCAGACGACAGACAGGCTTCCAGTGCATCATTCGCTGTGATGACGCCTTCCAATGCCGCATCGACTGTCTCGAGCAATCCTTCTAAGCTTGAGCGACTCCCACGAACGGCGATGAGTAATTCTGCTCTGTGGCACGCGCGGGAAAAGGCTGCCAACTTCTGTCCCCTTTTCCGGCGCAGCACCTTCAACTCCTCGCTCACCGCTTCATGACGCTTCTCTCTTGGGACGCTCTCTTCCAGGTCTGCTGCAGGAGGCTGTTCTGTTTCTCCTGTTGCTGACATGTTGCCGGTTCAGATCCGGCCCGGAGGACCAGTAAATGTCGCGGCCACGCGCCGGCCTGTGCTCGACGGGACGCCGCGCCGCGCGGCGCCCGACTCTCCTCTGGCGGAGCGGACTGTAAACACTCCTTTCTGGGGCTAATCAGACCAGCGGGTCCACGGCATTTGGGTGAAATAAAACTCGTGCGACCCTATTCAACACAAGTAGGCGAAGGGCTTTAGGCAGATCGATCGGATATGAAGGATGGCCACAATTCAGCAGCCAGGAGCCACGGCAATTCAGCGTGACACAGGTGAGAGATAGAAGTCACAATTCAAGCGACAAGGAGGCCCACAATTCAGCAGACCAGGAAGGGTAAAATGGGAAGGTTAAGTGAGTGGAGATAGAAGTCACAATTCAAGCGACAAGGAGGCCCACAATTCAGCAGACCAGGAAGGGTAAAATGGGAAGGTTAAGTGAGTAGAGATAGAAGTCACAATTCAAGCGACAAGGAGGCCCACAATTCAGCAGACCAGGAAAGGTAGAGGAGTGGAGGTAAGGTAACTTGTGTAGAATGAAGAGTTGCGCACGCGCCGCACACGCCCGATTCTAACTCCGCCCGCTCACTGCTGCTCACTGTGTCTCGTTGCTTCCACACTTCCCGACACAGCACTGAAGAGGTATTTCTATATTGCGGTGTCCAACGAACGGTGCGACGGCTACGACAGGACAGAGGCACGTCCGCACGCTGCGGAGGCCAGAACAGAACAGGGCGAGAAACATGTTTACATCAGCTTAAATATGACGAAAAATGGGGTCACGACGAATAGCGCAGATGGGGAGGCTGAATAGATCCGGAAACGAAGGGAGAAGAAAAACACGTCTAGCGACGCGCAGCGGTCCCAAAATAGCCGCACCTGGCCGGTCCGCGCGCCTACCTGGGACGGGGACGCCGGCGTGGACAATACAAATTCCAGACGCCGCCGTCAAAAACAGGGGGCCCGTCTCGGCCCTCCCAGGCTGCGCGGCGGCGGAAGGGTCAGGCGGCCCGGTCAGGCCGGGCCCGGGCGGCCGGCGCCCTCGCGGCCGGCCGGTCCCGGCGGTCTACCTGGCCGGCGACGAGCCACAGCCGGTGCATATACATTTCATACGTACATGCGGCGGTCACAGTCACTGTCACCGTCATCCTGAAATATAAGCACGAACCCATAAATAACAACCCACCAATAAAGCATCACCATGGCTACATTTAACCAGAAGTCCTTCGCACGAACGTTGAACTCGAAGTGATTCCTGCCAGGAATCCGTCTATCCATTTACTCCAACTGAGACACATGACGGAGAGGGAGTCTACGCTATCGCAGCCGCCGATATTACGGCGTGTTTACCGGCAACATTTCACGCCAAAGACGGCCTGTGAGACGGTGGGTGGCCCTCGGGACGAGCGTCTGATGTCGACGGTGACGCATCGAGGCACACATCATCACGCCTACGATGACAGAGAGCCACACTAAGTTTGTTTGATCGCCGCGAATCAATAACAAACGATGTATACTCCGCGGCCGCTTGGCGGTCGAGAACGTCTACGGTGCCGTTATGAAAACGAATGGGATGAGATTCTCTTCATAGTTTCCGCCGGCTATATGATTTATTCCAAGCTATAAATCGCCAAGGCTGATATAGAACTGATAACAGTACCTACTAGGAATCTAAGATTAGAATGAAGGTTGTTAGCATATGAGTTATGCGCTGGTGTGCGTTCGTGCGTTTCTGCTTGCAGCCGTGAACTGGTTGCGAGCTAGAGTTCTAGGCGCGACGCATAGTGACATGGACATTGGACAAGCACAGAGCACCAATGAATAATGCATTCCCCTGCAACTGACTTCAGTAGCTGGTGGCGGGTCCTCGACCTGGTAGCAGCTTCAGTGTAACCGTTACTTTGAACCCAAGTCCAAACTGGCCCTATCCATGTCCCTGCAGCGGGCCCCATCACCCTCCTACCCTCACTGACAGGAGGGTATTCATCTCTCGGCCACCTACCCGCCCTCCTCTGACCGGAGGGCGTTCATCTCCAGCCCTCTGTCGGGTGTGAACCGGTCACCCTCCAGGATACGAGTGGCACGAACTGCATGATCGATACCACCACCACCAACATCCGCCGATCGAGCGGACCGAACCCGTTCAGACCCTCCCCCATCGCCCCGGCCAATCTATACCGCAGCGTCCAGCAGCCCGCGCCGAGGAATCTCAGACACGGACTCGGGAATCCGCTCCGAAATGGCCCCGGGCGCTACAGGCAGTAACAGCGCGCGTATTGTATCGAAAACGTGACGGGGCCGGCAGTGATCGGCTCCGAGCGTCGACTCACAGCGGTGCAATAGAGCCATCGTGGCGTGGCGAGGCGCCGTTCAGAGCAGCTAAACCGGGAGTCGGCGCACGAATCCACTGTCCGGTGGAAGTGAGCGCCGTTCTTTGTGTGGTGATAGCCAGATGATCGGTTGAACACTGTATGGGCGAGGGGTTATTGTGGTTCGATCTGAGATATGGATCGATATGGAGGGATACGAACCGATGCGGAACGGTACTGACCGCGGCGTGGAAAGATACGAGCCGATGTTGCCGTGTGGACTGGATTGTGGGCGGATGCGAGGCTTGTGGATGATGGGATGCTTACTGCTTATTGCTTAGGCCGGTCGTGTAACTCGAACGCTCTACTCAAGGCCGGTTACAGCACGGTTTATGTATGTAAATGCGCTTAAGGTCGCACGCCGTGGACGTCCCCGGTTACCGGTGAAACAGGTCTGAGAAAAGACTATTTATGACCCGCGGTAGAAGACATGAAGTGACAAGAGCGAAAGAGCTAATCCGGAACTAAGAAGCCAAATCGGCAAATAAGACGGTATACAGTATACACGAGCATGTCTTGGATGCACCAGAGTCCTTTCATACCAATGAAATACTAGTGTGGAAGGGATGCAACTAACTGCTATCTCTAAGTGACCTCTCGGAACGGCACCGCCCGTGACAGCAGACTTGTAACGTACTCAAGTCTACAGCTGTCTCCCACCAAATGCAGATATTTTCCCGTCTTCCGGTATGCTGAATCTCTCCCCTTTTCCTGGTAACTCTTCCACTCTCATACCGAGACCTCCTTCACCCACTGCTGCCCCTCTCTCCGTTTCCTTCCGACCCTCTCCGGGCGTCCTCCCTCCCCTCCTATGCCTGAAACAGACTCTTTTCGCAGTCAGGAAATCGCATGCGAGAACCTATTCAAATACATGGAAGCGCGCTCGCATCAATCGCACGCACCTCCCGGATGCGATTGATGCGGGAAGAATTATAATGTATTTGAATAGGCTCTCGCATGCGATTTCCTGAACGCGGAAAGAGTCTGTTTCAGGGATTGGAGTCCTCCCTCCCCTCTCGGACTCACCGACGGCCCGTCGGCGTGCTGCTGGCTGCTGACGATGGTCTGTGGCGGCAGCGAGCCGCTGCTGGCCGCCCCCTGCGAGCTGCTGCTGGCCGCGCTGCTCTGCGTCTCGTTCAGTGACGTGTAGGACGAGCTGCGGCTGCTGAGGGTGCCCTCAGGCACCAGGCCCAGGCTGACGGACGAGCTGAGACTGCAGGTGTCGGGCCGGCCGGCGCGACCGCCCACCGCCACCGGCCGCGACGGGCTCAGCTGGACGTGCTTCAACATCCTGAAGAACAGAGGGGAGATGAGGTTAGTCTATAAGACAGAGATAAATAACGTTAGAACGACATGTGACTGACCAAGTTACACAGCTACGCACTCTTCAACATTCCGACAGTAGAGGGGAGGGACTGGGATTAGCAAATGACAAGAGACAGAACAGATACGAACGAGGCCAGCTGTTCACATTAAACTTCCGTGAAACGAAGAACAGCGGTAAGCCGTCACCATAGGAGACTCTGACAGAGCAAGGCTTCGGACAAGGCGCTCAGCATCACGCACAAGAACACTAAGGAATTGAGAGACGTGTCAGATACTTGGCGCAAAGGAGGATAAATTGGCAGCCGATAACGCAGCTTCCTGATAATGAAACAATCACTCAACGACTGCTAAAAATGCTAACCTACATCAGTCTCCGTAGATATTACGAGACATGGATTAAAATGTTCTATTGTGGATACATTTCCTGTCGGCTTAAAATGGACTGACACCAGAAAAACGTTGGCCGAAGGTTACGCAGCTCACGAGCGCCCGCACATGTCGCCTTTTTTCCTCTACTCTCCGGAACGTGGTCAAACCGCTTATCCAGGAATAACTTCCCTTACCCCCACAGGAGTTCGACAGCACGTTTTAACGATCAAGCCACATCGGCTCTTGCACCTCACTTTATCAAACATGAAACAGTGTTCATTGTTCATGGTTATTGCAGTTAAGTGATTATCCCAGGTGCACTGACATCTTAACAAGAGTCTCTTATAGCTTTGCCCATTCGAAGTTCACAATCGCCCCAGTCCCTAATTTACCTGCCCCATGCCCATCTGCAGTTCAAGGGGAAGTGCACAAACAATAGTCGTGCTGATGTAGCAGCTGTGTTTGACTAACAGCTGACTTTCGTTGTTCATGTTCAAGAAACAGGAAACAACAGGGTTTATGCCTATGACAAATCGCTTCACACGGAGGATAGATAAGCACCTGCGATATAATTGTATTATCGGGAGGATCGTAACAGGATTGTTTGTCATTTTAGACGGAACTGAGCCATCCTCCGACAATATCTTTGGGGCGCTGTGCAAACTTCCTTACACCGTGTGGCTCACAAGGCCGTCCCCACAGCACCGACTGCTGAGTTTTCCTTCGCGCATACCAGCGGCACTGAGCAAACGGGATGCAGAAAACGTCCCGCCTGATCACAGGCACCGACGACCTTGTGACGTCACCAGATGACGTCATAGTTTATACACATCAGATTATATAGGGAGCAGTGGTTTGACTTCCGTTCTGTGCGGCGGCGCTTGGTTAATTGGGTCTGTGACGGACGAGCACACAGATGATGGGTGTCTGGTTGACCCCGACCGACCAGCGATCGAACGGAACCGGTGATTGACAAACGAACGACCCACAGCGGTGTGTCGGTGGTGTCTTTTTTGGCCGCGCCCGCGCTGAGGTCATATCCGGCCTGAGCGGACGCGCACGGCGCCATGTAATGTGGGCTCATTAACGTGCCACGATCGTGCATGTCAACTGACACTGGACGTCACGCAAACAGGCATCAATCGAACTCATTGTAAATCACGACTGTGCTCTACATGTGAGTCACATCCTGTCACGGCGTACATCGCATTGCAATGTAAACTAAATTGTCGACATTCGTGTGGCGTTTTCCTCGAATTAACATATCACTTAGAGTGCAGCGTGTACTGGCGAGGCGGTACTGGCTAGCTGCGAATGGACCGGAAGGCACCGTGCACGTAGTATAAACAAAGCGTTAGCAGCCAGCCGCCCCCCTGCCAGAGGTCCCTGGAGGCCCAGCCGCCTGGTCCAGCACCCCCCCCCCCCCCGTCCCCGTCCCGTCCGACTCCCCCCCCCCCTCCCCATTCAAACCAAAACTAGGCTCAAGGAACAGTCTGCTCGAATGAAATACCGCTGTAAGAGCTCTTCTGTGCTATCTCACATGTCTTATAATTGTCGGCCTATCGTTAGCAGCTTTATTCATCCACTGAAAATGGGTGGTAACTGGTAAATCTCACGGGATATTCAACTTATGGCGTTTCAGTGACCATCATTAGCACGAAAGCCATGAAAACCGCTTAAAAACACTCTGAGGTGACAGGTGCAGTCAACATTAAGCCACTAAAGAGCAAACATCACACTCCAGTTACTGTTCCCTTCAACACGCTGACGGCTACGGAAATTTCACAGTTGCCTCACGAGCATCGCGAAAAACGGTGAAATAGCCAGCAGCTGTGGAGTACACAGCGCTCGGAGCTGGCTTTTTATCACTTGCCCGTTAACTCAGAAGCAAACAATGCTAAGAGAACGTATCAACAATGGAGCCTACAGAACACATACCAGTTACCGAGAAGAGCTGCGACGAAATGCCGTTCCTTAGCCCGTAGTTGAAAAACGGAAAACCTAAAACGTGGACTTGTGAGAATAATATACCGTTACAACTTTCCGTTCCATTTCCATTTTCCTTCGGCTGGAACCTAGACACATCTATTTCAGGGTTTCCAGCTATGGTAAACTCGGTCGTTCAACCATGGTTTTGCTGACTAGTGCGGCTAAGTGCCAGGCCAACGTTTCTCGGCACCCAAAACGCTGACCTGCAGGAGCCGAGGCAGGCCAGCTCGTGACCTATATGGATGTGACCGATCTGGAGCGGTCAAAAACAGCGCGACTTGGCGCGTCCAGAATCGCTGAGGTTGAGATGTGGGTTCACAAATTATTGAGACCCTAATAGTGTGCAAAGAACGGAGAACCTTAGACGCAAAACACGATACTGTAAAATATATGTGGCACGACATAACCGCTAATGGGCTCTGAAATAATCACATAACTACCTATAGCGTTAGAGCTTAGTTGCCATTCGTATCGGCAGTCAATTGGCATGCACAATATCACATGAATGATCAAGTGAACAACCATAAGCGACGTACCTACCGTTTCATGCAACACGTGGCCAGCTTTGATTTTCAACATATTGCCACTTCTCTTTTGTAGGTAGCCAGCTCGGAACTAGAGATATGTATTATGTAATCCCCTGCAGGAATAGTCAGTCCACCTGTGTATACCGGACACCGGCGATGTTCGGGTGTGGCGAAAATCCCTGGCGGATTATTGGACCAGGAGGAGTCAAACAGGTCCAACAACCACACTCCTCTGGACTCAACTGGTCAGGAGAAGGCACACCAGACGCTACTTCATTGTTTTTATGATATTGACTGGTGATCTGACACTAAGACTCACTTAGCTTAGACAAATATGAAGTTTATTGAAGTCGTCAATCATCAGCAATGCCTCTTTTATCTCACAGCAGCAATGCTCGAGCACTAAGCGGGTAAACACGCCTGCAAGATGCTACCACCTCCCTTCATTCCTAATTTTTCAGCATTCCATAGCCAATCCATGGTTCGATCGTGAACGTGAAGACTTGTGGCTAAAAAGGCTGCTGGAAATTACAGAGTAATCGGCTCACGAATCACGAGCTTCACAGCACGTGGATGCCGACATTTTCGGCGGGGCTCGCGTGACCCGGCCAATCTATCGTCTACCGTTTGAACCGGATTGAGCACCGCTGGCTGATCGCTGCACCCATAACAGGACCGGACCAAACAATGCTGAGGGGCGGGGACGCCGGGTGGGCGTCAGTCTACAGACAAACCAAGGTTCTGTGGAGCCCGTGCGCAATGAGGAACTACTTCTCGTGCTCCTCGTCATAAGATGACCGATAATGTGAGAGAATTAGTGGAAGAGAGAGAGAGAGAGAGAGAGAGAGAGAGAGAGAGAGAGAGAGAGAGAGAGAGAGAGAGAGAGAGAGAGAGAGAGAGAGAGAGAGAGAAAGAGAGAGAGAGAGAGAGAGAGAGAGAGAGAGAGAGAGAGAGAGAGAGGGAGGGAGAGCACCGTCTTCATGTGACGATCTGACTGCAGACTGCAGCCGTGTCAGACTGCTAAGGCCCGCTGAGGTCACCCGACAGGATCCCATCAGCTGCCTGGCACCCGGCGCCACCCGCGACACGTCCGTCCGGTCCCCCATCCCTGAACCGGCTCCGGGCTCAGCCCAAAGGCGTGACCTCCGTCCGGCCGGGGCGATGACCTCCCCTGAGAGCTGACCTGGCGTCGAGGTGGGCCGGATGAGCTGGGTCAGCATGGCGAGCCGTCAACTCGAGTGACCAGGGAGACTGTCTTGGGGTGGGGGCGGGGCGAGACTGTTTTGGTTCGGTGCGGAGGGTTCTGAGGAATGCACGGCCGACTCCCGAAAGGGTAGCCAGGCGAGAGAGGTGGGCGGTGGCGACAGTAGTGCACCTGATAGCCATTCTTGTCCACCAGGACACCGAGGATGGACCTGAGAGGACACCGCCCGGCGTCGATGTCACCGTTTTCCTCGTGCTCCTCATTTCGTCTGTCGAAGCCTCTCTGCGGTTCCCATTTTTGGCGTCATCGCATGTGACAGCGACATCTGCTATTGCACATGTGGAAGTGCTGGTGACATGATCTAGGACGTCCGAAACGGCATGGCGTGAGAGGATAATTCGAGCTCTCGCTTAGCGTCAACATTGGCGTTATAATTTCGCGCCTCGCTCGATCGGGACTCATCCCGTGCCCGGGGTGCTCGTGAGTTTGTCCTTGATCCAGCCACCATCGCAGCGACCCGAGCAGACCCGTTTCAATCAGCGTGCTCCCGTCTGAGAGTCCGATTAGGGGCGCCATTCAGAGGGCCCCGGGTGAGGGTCAGGGGTCGGTCAACTGTCAACGCAATGGGCCATCCATTAGGGAGGCGGCAAGTTTCGTCACCCGACTCGCACGACCCTGCCAGGCCGTGCAGGAGAGCTTCTGCTCTCACGAGGTCAATTGGCGAGAAGTGCAGAAGCAAGGTCCCGTCATGAAAACGGATATACGGTCCGCCGTCGGACGGGTCTGCTGCTCATACGGTGAATCACTCTCCCACCAGCTCCCACTGAGTTCCAGAGGTCCCACAGCGCACTAGAACTGGGCCGTCGAGCGTCCCGT